TCAACAGACACCCCCAAACCCCCAAATCACCCCAAAATCACTCCTAAAATCAACAGACCCCCCCTAAAACCCAAAATCACCCCAAAATCATCAACACACCCTCCCAAAACCCCAAATTACCCCTAAAATCAACAGACCCGCCCAAAAACCCCCCAAAAAAACCCAAAATCAGACCCCCCAAACCCCCAAATCACCCCCAAGGTCAACAGACCCCCCCAAAAGAACCCCCCAAACCTTCCCCCCTCCCCCCAAGAAGGGACGTCTGGGACCCCCCAAAAGGGACAAGGGGATCCCAAAAGGGACCTCAGGGGGGACGGGGGGACCCCAAGAGGGACAGGGGGACCCCAAAGAACCCCAAGAGGGACAGGGGGACCCCAAAGAACCCCAGGAGGGACGTGGTGACCCCAAGAGGGACATGGTGACCCCAAAGCCCCCCAAGAGGGACATGGTGACCCCAAAAGGGACCTCAGGAGGGATGGGGGGACCCCAAGGGGGACAAGGAGACCCCAAAGCCCCCCAAGAGGGACATGGAGACCCCAAAGACCCCCAAGAGGGACAGGGGGACCCCAAGAAGGACATGGTGACCCCAAGAGGGACATGGAGACCCCAAAGAACCCCTAAAGGGACGTGGTGACCCCAAAGAACCCCAGGAGGGACAGGGGACCCCAAGAGGGACATGGAGACCTCAAGGGACCCTAAGAGGGACAGGGGAACCCCAGAAGGGTCATGGAGAACCCAAAGACCCCCAAAAGGGACATGGTGACCCCAAAGACCCCCAAGAGGGACAGGGAACCCCAAGGGACCCCAAAAGGGACATGGAGACCTCAAAGAACTCCAAGAGGGACATGGAGACCCCAAAGACCCCCAAGAGGGACAGGGGGACCCCAAGAAGGACATGGAGACCCCAAGAGGGACATGGAGACCCCAAAGACCCCCAAGAGGGACAGGGGGACCCCAAGAAGGACATGGAGACCCCAAGAGGGACATGGAGACCCCAAAGACCCCCAAGAGGGACAGGGGGACCCCAAGAAGGACATGGAGACCCCAAGAGGGACATGGTGACCCCAAAGACCCCCAAGAGGGACAGGGAACCCCAAGGGACCCCAAAAGGGACATGGAGACCTCAAAGAACTCCAAGAGGGACATGGGGACCCCAAAGACCCCCAAGAGGGACAGGGGGACCCCAAGAAGGACATGGAGACCCCAAGAGGGACATGGAGACCCCAAAGAACCCCAAGAGGGACGTGGTGACCCCAAAGAACCCCAGGAGGGACAGGGGACCCCAAGAGGGACATGGAGACCTCAAGGGACCCTAAGAGGGACAGGGGAACCCCAGAAGGGTCATGGAGAACCCAAAGACCCCCAAAAGGGACATGGTGACCCCAAAGACCCCCAAGAGGGACAGGGAAGCAGGGATGGGGACAGTAGGGACCACTGGGAAGGATGGGGACCACCAGGGATGGGGACCATCAGGGATGGGGACCATCAGGGGTGATGGGGACACCAAGGATGGGGAACCACCAGGTGGTGACCCCAAGAGGGACATGGTGACCCCAAAAGGGACCTCAGGAGGGATGGGGGGACCCCAAGGGGGACAAGGAGACCCCAAAGCCCCCCAAGAGGGACATGGAGACCCCAAACCACCAGGGATGGGACCTCCAGGAGGGATGGGGACCCCCAGGAGGGATGGGGACCCCAGGGATGTTGGTGGACACCAAGGATGGGGACCCACCATGGGATGAGGTGGATGATGGGGACACCAAGGATGGGGACCCCCAGCAGGGATGGGGACATGGTGGACACCAAGGATGGGGACCCACCACCAGGGATGGAGACCCCCAGGAGGGATGGGGACCCCAGGGATGATGGAGAACATGAGGGATGGTGGACCACCAAGAGGAATGGGGACAATAGGGACCCCCAGGAGGGATGGGGACACCAAGGATGGGGAACCACCACCAGGGAAGCCCCCCAGACCTGTGGGGCGGGGCTCCCCTCGGGGGGGGTGACGCAGAGGGTCTCCTGGTCCCCACAGGACTCCGAGAGCGTCACCTCCAGAGACAGCAGCTCCTGGGGGTCCGACGGGACCCACCACCAGGGATGGAGACCCCCAGGAGGGATGGGGACCCCAGGGATGATGGAGAACATGAGGGATGGTGGACCACCAAGAGGAATGGGGACAATAGGGACCCCCAGGAGGGATGGGGACACCAAGGATGGGGAACCACCACCAGGGATGGAGAACACCAAGGATGGGGGACCCCCAGGGATGATGGGGATGAGGTAGATGATGGTGGACACCAGGGATGGAGACCCACCACCAGGAGGGTCTGGGATGAGGTGGATGATGGTGGACACCAGGGATGGGGACCCCAGGGATGATGGTGGACACCAGGGATGGGGACCCCAGGGATGATGGTGGACACCAGGGATGGGGACCCACCCCCAGGTTGTCCCGTGACTGACCGTTGCGGGTGGCGATGGCCCAGCAGCGGGTGCCGCGTGGGGCGCGGTGGTGGCCGTGGGGCAGGCAGAGGGGCCGGGGGCCGTGGGGACCATCAGGGATGGGGACCATCAGGGGTGATGGGGACACCAAGGATGGGGAACCACCAGGAGGGATGGGGACCACCAAGGGTTGATGGGGATGAGGTGGGTGATGGGGACCACCAGGGATGGGGACACCAGGGATGGGACCTCCAGGAGGGATGGGGAGAGCAGGGATGGGGACCCACCACCAGGGATGGAGACCCCCAGGAGGGATGGGGACCCCAGGGATGATGGAGAACATGAGGGATGGTGGACCACCAAGAGGAATGGGGACAATAGGGACCCCCAGGAGGGATGGGGACACCAAGGATGGGGAACCACCACCAGGGATGGAGAACACCAAGGATGGGGGACCCCCAGGGATGATGGGGATGAGGTAGATGATGGTGGACACCAGGGATGGAGACCCACCACCAGGAGGGTCTGGGATGAGGTGGATGATGGTGGACACCAGGGATGGGGACCCCAGGGATGATGGTGGACACCAAGGATGGGGACCCACCACCAGGGATGGAGACCCCCAGGAGGGATGGGGACCCCAGGGATGATGGAGAACATGAGGGATGGTGGACCACCAAGAGGAATGGGGACAATAGGGACCCCCAGGAGGGATGGGGACACCAAGGATGGGGAACCACCACCAGGGATGGAGAACACCAGGGATGGGGGACCCCCAGGGATGATGGGGATGAGGTAGATGATGGTGGACACCAGGGATGGAGACCCACCACCAGGAGGGTCTGGGATGAGGTGGATGATGGTGGACACCAGGGATGGGGACCCCAGGGATGATGGTGGACACCAGGGATGGGGACCCCAGGGATGATGGTGGACACCAGGGATGGGGACCCCAGGGATGATGGTGGACACCAGGGATGGGGACCCCAGGGATGATGGTGGACACCAGGGATGGGGACCCCAGGGATGATGGTGGACACCAGGGATGGGGACCCCAGGGATGATGGTGGACACCAGGGATGGGGACCCCAGGGATGATGGTGGACACCAGGGATGGGGACCCCAGGGATGATGGTGGACACCAGGGATGGGGACCCCAGGGATGATGGTGGACACCAGGGATGGGGACCCCAGGGATGATGGTGGACACCAGGGATGGGGACCCCAGGGATGATGGTGGACACCAGGGATGGGGACCCCAGGGATGCCCCCATGGGACAGGGACCCCCCCTCAAATATCTGGGTCTGGGGACGCTGTGGGGCTGCCCCATAGCCACGCCGTGGGGCTGGGGGACCCACAGAGACCCCCTGCCCCACAGGAACCCCACTTGGGGGTCCCGGGAGGCACTATGGGGCAGAGGAGGGTTAGTTGGGGGTCCTGGGGGACACTACGGAACCAGTTGGGGGGTCTGGGTGCTGCTATGGGACCCGGGGGGG